TAAAACTATGTCTTGCTATGTAATAAAATGTCTACCTATTACAGACTCTGATGAACAAGCTTCAAAAAGTAAAATAAGTACTTCTTGTCGTACTTGACAGAGACCATTGAATAATGTTATAACTTTCTTTCCCTTAGATGTATTTGTATTTCATTTATTTTGTTTTTCCCATCCATTATTCTCTGCTAGGATTTTTCTCCTTCTGTGGGAGGATCATAAGCTGAGTGATAATTGCACATAGGATATCCCATATACAATCTCTGCTTCAGTACACTGGTTCCATCTGGACTAGACTACTATAATGTAAATGTAAATATTCATCCAAACACATATCCAGATTGTAAGTAGAGATGTGAATCTGAAAGGCATCTCCCATTGAAAAACATGCTGTTCATTTGTTTGCATCATTTCCCCCAGTTCTAGTACTACTAAGTGAAACATGGGTGGAAGCTGCCTTCCACGAGTGTGGATCTCCTTCCTTGTATCAAGCACAGGGCATCTGATTCAACTACATGTCTGCTCTAGTGAAGCTACTTCAGCAAAGGGGAGACCTTGCCTGGGTGGAGTAGCTGTGACAGCAGGATGCCTGTGGAATTGGGTGGAGAAATGTAGCTCATCATTCCCACTGGAAACAAGAAAAAGATGGATAGCATCCACAGAAAACTGATTCTTAAAAAAAAAAACTGTTATCAACATGTTTTTAGCATGTTACTCCTTAAGCAAGATATTTTATTTTTCACAACACTTCATTTTTAAAGGTTTTTTTTGTCATAGCAATTTTCTTGGTGCTTCTGAATGTTTGACTCTATTTTCTTCCAAGAATTAGTATAGGTCTCATGTCTATGTGCATTTATTATTTTATTTATTTATTTCAGATATTTCTATTCCATTCTATACAAAAGTCTAAGGACAGTTCCGGGGCTGGAAACTGTCAGGCTCTTTTTCCTGCTCTTTTTCCTGCATATGTTTTTCCCTGCATATAATTTTCTGGTATATTCCAGAATTCTCCTCAGTTTGCAATATCCCAGCATGAACCTATTTTTGTGCCTGCATGTGTGAGGCACCTACTTTATGGACAGAGAGTAGCATAAGAATAGGCACCCACCCAGAGACAACCATTAAGATTCAAACCCTGATGTATGATGTACGACTGTTTAAGGAACTAAGACATTAAGGAATGTGATGGGCAAGGACCAATGCAGGTAAGCAGAATGCAGTTCAGATAATGAGGAGGGGACAGTACTCCCTGCCCTTCCCCTTCCCTCTTTGACAGAGACTGTCCCATTTCCTAAGCAACCAGGGCAAGTGAAAGGACTCCTCAGGCAATTCACACATGAATGTGGAAAATATGTTTACCTCCATAATCTTTCATGGAACCCCTAATGACCTTTTGTGAAATCCTAGGGTTGGGGAAAGACTGATCTAGAGCATACCATGTCACAGAAGGCTGCTCTGGGCCATTGACATTCAATTTCCTCAGCACAGAAGCCCTACGTCGCCTCTTCCCAAGTGCTTTCCCTGCTCTTTATTTGGCACACAGTAATTTCCCTTCTCTGTTTTTCTGTTACTGATGCAGAGAACAGTGTGCTGATCTATGTGCTGCGAGGCTGGTATATGATCTAGGCAGTCTTTCATTCAATAAAACATTTTGTGGCAAAATGGAACTCCTATTGTTCAAGCTTGATCACTGTTCTCAAAATGTTTTCCCATTTGCTGGAGTATGGGTTTCCTATCTACTCCAGGTACTTTATTCTTTCCAGGTGCTTTCAGAACAGCTTTCACCTTGCTTTCTAATATTGCAGGCTCTATCTCACGGGATTCCTCTTTGAAGGAAACTGTCATCTTTTTATCTGTATAGTTCTTGTGTATATTGTTTCCACCTTCTCTTTATTTTCTCATGGTCAGATAATATGTCCTCATTTGTCTTTCAGCATTCCTAAACTCAGTTGGAATTTCCCTTTGATTTCTTGGATCTTCTGGAAGCGGTCTCTTGTTTATCCACTTTCATTGTTCTCTATTTCTTTGCACTGGTTATTATAATAGTCCTGTCTCTATGTGACAATCAAAAAAAGTTGCATTCAGGCTTCTGACCCAATCTCTTACCTTTTGCTGTTGCTTCTTGCCTGTCCTTAGAATAGTGTTTCTTCTGTCATCTAAGCTTCAGGAATTGCCATTTTGCATTCTTCCCTAATAATGTCTCTAGTTTCAGTTTGCAGCTCTTCTGGTTCACAGTAAACTGAGTTCAGTAATGTAAATCTGTTCTTTACAGATTTTAAATTCCTTAGTTATTATTTAATATTTTGTATTTTGGAACTATACTTCTGTTAGTGATATTTTCCTACTTTACTCTGATTTTTGATAGTAAGAGTTCATGGTCACTGCACCAATCTGCTCCTAGTCTTGTTTTGGCAGCACGGATATTGCTTCTCCATCTCTTAGTTCCATTCCCATATTCTATTTGATTTCTAGATTGGCCATTTGAACATCAAACGTTCATGTAAGCAGTTCTCTGATCAGTTGCCTGAAGTATACACTTGCTATAACAGATTGTTGGCTTTGCAGAATTCTAAGAGTTGTTTTCTTCCTTTGTTTCTTACCCCAAGTCTAATTCTCCTTCAACATTAGATTCTACTGTTTCCTACTTTTGTGTTCCAGTCACGTATGATTATCAGCATGTCTTGTTTTGATGTGTTAACATTTTCCTCTAGAAGTTTTCATTTTTCTTCTTCTTCAGCATCTGTTGTTGGAGAGTAGACTTGGAACTGTGTTTGGTTGATAGGTTTTTCCAAGAATTCTGATTGATATGATTTGGTTTGACTTTGAATTATAGCTCCCTACTGCCTGTGCTACATCTTGCCTCAGTATTAGAGCCACTCTGTTTCTTCTGAGTATGTCATTTTCAAAGTAAAACACTTTGTGTTTGTCTGATTAAAATGCCCCATTCCAATCCACTTTGGTTTGCTCATACCAAGTACTGCAATGTTTTACCATTCCATTTCTTTGGAAACTATGGAAAACTATGATTTTCTATTTGTCTTGATTCATGCTTCTCAGATTCCATGTTTCAATTGTATATTTTGTGCTGCTTCAGATTTTCCTTTCACCTCTGTGCATGTCAGCCTCTAGACTTCTTCAGCCACTAGTTGTGTCATTAGCAACTACACTATTGATATTTGTCCTTTACACTTCTCCCGTTGCTGGCCGATTGCCTTCTAACTTGGGACTCTCATTTCTGGCATTATCAGTTGTTTCATTTTGGATTGCTTCATTATACCATTTATATGGTATGAAATATTAAGAACTTGTCTTCTTTTGTGCAGTAGTTACCAGAGTGAGCTTAAAAATTCCCGTCTTTGTGAAAGATTCTCCATGAGTGTCAATTTGAACTATGGTTGCTTCCCAGTAGCTGCCCTTCAGGAGTTTTGGTGCCACATCAGCATTGGAGACAGTTATTCTGTGCAACTTTTAGTCTTGAAGAGGGTGAATGCCTCTTAGTCTGGTGTCTCAGCTTTGACCATTTTGCTTCGGGTTACCCTGCTACGAGAGCAGAGTAGCAAGAAAGTCTGGCCTGAAAGCATTTCTTGGCTGCTCTGACATTTTCAAACTCCTTCATGTTAAGGTGTCCATCCAAAAGGGGGCACTCCATTTTGGGTATGACTTAATCTCGATCAAACCTATAGAGACAAAATGTTGGCATTGTGTTTTATTCTCTAGTGAGAGTGTTGCCTATGCTATCTCAAATTAGTGTGTGAAAGAAAGTGCTTAGAGAGAATACAACTATTCATGGCAAGAGACTAATTCTCACACTAACCCTGGTGCAAATAAAGAAGGCACACCAACCCCTCCCCCACCAAAAACCAGTGGCAGCTTTTCGCTCATTGGAATACAACCTGCAACTCTTTTACCTGCAAAAGCTGAGCAGTATCCTGAACGCCAGATTTAGCAGACATCCTTAAAAGTGGAGAAACTTTCTGCTTATGTTTGGAGGCACGGTTCCTCAGTGCTTTTAAAGCATTCAGAAAGAAACCCTGGGATGAAAAAAAGGAGATTCTTGTAAAAATACTCGTAGAAATTCTTCAGCTCTCCTACCTAAACACTCTTGCACTACATTCCAGGGAAGCACGCATAGGACTGTTGTGCACAACGGGGGAAAACTATCAGTATTCTGTTTCCTTTTGCTTTGTTGTTGTCACACAAGCACGATTTTAAAAAGAAGTATCCCAGACTTATCTACCAATGGCTATTAATTATGCTGGTCTTTCAGAAGCACAGACTAATGCTACTGAATGCTAGTGGCCGAAGGTGGCCAGCACCAGCAACGGGGGGAAATTATGTCGCACCTGGCTGGCCACCGCGTGTGTAAAAGCAGGTGGGCTGGGCTAGATGAGCCCTGCGGTGGCAAAGCCGCCGAGAGGGTGAACTCCCACTGGGCGGGCGCGGGTAGAATCCGAAGACTGTAGCCCTTCAGGTGGTGCCTCGCCGTTTCCCAGGATCCAGGCGCTTCCCCCCCTCTCCGCGCACAGCACCACCCCTGCTTGGGGACGCGGCTGCAGGGGAAGGCGAGCTTCCACCGCGGCACCCCACGAGGTCGGGGGAAGGCGGGCTGGACGCGCGCCAGGAGCGCTGGAGAGGCCAAGGAGCGGCAGTGGCGCGGGTCGAGCCCCGCCGCGTCTGCTCTGTTCCGCTGTGGCCGGGCTGCGGCGGCGGCAAAGCACAACTCGGCTTGGGCGCTTTCCCCGCCAGCCTCTCTCTTTCTCCCAACGGGACAAACCATTCCGGCGCGCCGAGGAGGTGAGGCACCTGTCAAATGCGCTTGGCCCCGCGCGGCCGAGAGCGGCCCGGGCTGCTCGGGGCGCTCTCCCGAGGGTCACCCGGCTGCTTGAGCGTTCACTAGAGGCCCAGCAGGCGGCGGGAAGCCGGCCCCGAGCCGAGCGCGGGAATCTTCCTCCCCCACACCCCGCGCAGCTTCTCAGTCGCAGCCGCCTGCAATGGCGTTGAGGAGCGGAATCGGAGGCTGCCGCCGGGCAGGCTGGGGGTGGCGGCGACGGTGCCAGGAGCTGGTGGGTCGCTGGAGCCCGAACATGGGACGGAGGCGCTAAATTGCCGCTGCAGAAACAGTCGCGCCGGGAGGAACAGAAAGCGCCGGGGCTTGTAACGCCCATTCTCCCGGGTAAGGTGGCGCAGGACGAACTGCCGTGCTATTTGCAAATTTTAAAAAAGCGCGGGGGTGGCAGGAAAATGAGTAGGTGGACTCCTGAGATGGGGGCAGCTTTTGTTTCGGGAGCACGAAAAGTGCCCCGAGTGGCTTGCCGGGGCTCTTGAGCAGCAGCACTGCTTGCTCCGCTCCTGTGCTCGGTCGCCTGCATTCTGATACAGCGCCGGCGCCCGTTGCTCGCGCTCCTGTTGCAAGGTGCTTCTCCGCTTCGTGGTGGAGCTTAGTGGTGAGCTTTACCTGTCGTTGGTGGAGACGAACCCGTGCCTTTTCCACCGCTTGATCGCAGGAGGAGGGAGGGCAGGAGAAAAGATTAATTCACACACACACACCCTAGCTAGCTGGCTACTCCCCACTGCCTCACACAGATTTCACATCTCGTTCCCCTCCACACACACACACGTTGGGTTTTTTGCGCATGCAAGAAGCAGCTGGTTTATTTATTTCCTCTCTCCCATGAGGCTGTTAAGACTCTTCCTTATTGCTACGTTCTAAGGTTCCTCTTCTTCGTTTTTAATTGCATTCTTCCCCCCGCCCCCCCCCCCCCGGTTTGGGGGTTGAGGACGAGAGGGAGAAAAAAAGACGATTTAGAGACAGGGACGTGATTCTTTTCCTAGAAGGGATTGGGGGGCATTAACAGCCACATCATAGTGTTGCTTAGGAGCAAATAACCGCTTAGTCGTCAAGGCTGGAGAATAGACGCAATATGGGCGCTAGTCTTGTAATCTCTCCCAACCTCGGCTGCGCGGAATAGGGGCGGGGGATGCGGGGGCCAGTGGGTGGGTGGGTGTGTAGGAAAGAAAGGGAGAGAGGAGTCAGGTCCGGGCTGAAAGGAACCGAGCGGGTCCGCATGTGTCTTGGGTCGCTTTAGGAGCTCGCAGCTGCGGTGAAGTTGTAACCGCGGAGGACGAGGCGGAAACAGAAGGGCGCTAATGAGATCTCTCTCGCTCTCTCTCTTTATTATTAGTCATGTGCTGCTCTTCTGTATTCCTTTAGGGCTGCTTGCTAAGGCTGGAAGCAAAACGCGTTTCCTCCTCCTCGTCCACTATTAAACGGCGCCAAGGGACTCTGTCAGCCCCCATCTCCCTCCAAATAAGAGAACAGGACAGCTCAGCATTCATAGAATTGTTCTTTGAGGTACAGCTTTTGTTGAGATCCAACCTGGGAAATTGAGAAATTTCGCCTGCATCAAGCATTTTTCTTCTTTTTCCCCATTTCATTGTACATTTTGTGGTTCTTTGTCATGCTGATTATGCCACAAAGGGAACAGGCAAGTCTTTATCATATCGAATTATTTGCTTCCTGCAAATTCTAGATTGCATTGCACGTGATCTCTCCCCACCCCCTGCACATTTTGTGGAGTGAGTATATTAATTTGTGCTGCTGCTGCTGCTGCTGCTGCTGGTGTTCTGAAATGAAAAGAGCCTGACTGCAAAAAGTGTTGCCATTCAAGGGTCCAGTCACTCATGGCTACATAACATCATTCCTGTGGTAGAGAAATGATTTTACCTGGCTCTTTGTTAAAATTTGAAGGAAACTTTGGTGAGGGAATATGTAGGTGCAGTATGATACTGTAGTACAGTTGAATAATTTGTGCACTGGGGGTGCATAGTGAGTGTAAGATGCAGAGTAACATGAATAGGTGGACCGCATCATATTATTATTATTTGTATCCTTACTGATCACAGTGTATATTCACCAACTTTTCCAGGATGATTGCTGCATTTTTTTTCATACACTGTTTTTGTGTAATATGGTATGATAGTGGAGCTATTCCCAGGTAATCAGATGACTGATAGGTAGAAAAGAGAAGGATTGGTGCTTTGGCCCTTAATCTCATGTATGTGGGGCAATGTGTAAGTATTTGATTTTTCATTTTTATAAATGTGCTTCACTTCTTGGCTTTGTTACTACTTTTTGTGATCCATATCTGAGCACCGGAATTAAAAATGGGTTCCAAGGAACTGGATCCAGATTTAGCTCTGGTTTTTAATTTAAGGCAGCATACCATAGGTTAACTTGTCACTTTTGTCATCAAAGCTTGAAAGAGGCCCCATACGTACTCAATTTCTCTTCTGCCCTTCGTGCGAGGAGCTGTGTCACTGTGGCTTCCCAGATTATTTCCCCCATATAACTTTAAGATTCAGAATGCACTTAGGTTAGAGGATAGAATCCCATTAGGTGCCTTCATATCATACTCTTACCTTTTATAGGCAGTGTTGTTATGAAACTGATGTAAAAGTTAAATAGCTGCAACATATGATATGAATCAAAATCCTCCTTTGTGTTACAGGTTCCATCAACATTTTATTTTGAAAAATCATCTGGCTACCCTTTTGGTTTTTTGTTGTGACCCATATCTGGAAGACTGTGTGCTGCCTGTGAGTATGGCTTTGGGAAAATCTAGTGCCCTATAAGCACAACCACAATCTCAAAAGAAATTGGTTGGGTACAGCAGCCACTATGTATGTTGGTTTAACATTTCAAAAATAAACATGTTGAAGACAGAGTGTTCAGGGGAAAGATCAACCCTTCGAAGTGCCTCTCCTCACAGGAATGCTTATAGGACTGAGTTCCAAGCATTGAAAAGTACCTTTGACAAACCTAAGTCAGATGGAGAACAGAAGACAAAAGAAGAAGGAGAAGCTTCTCAGCAAAACAGGGGGAGGAAATATGGATCTAATGTCAACAGGATTAAAAATTTATTCATGCAAATGGGCATGGAGCCCAATGAGAGTGCTGGTGGCATGGCAAAGACAAGAAGTAAAAGCGGTCCAGTGTCTCCTCAAAGAAGAATTAGACCTAAAGAATTTGTAGAGAAGGGAGATGGATCAGTTGTGAAGTTAGAATCATCAGTTTCAGAAAGGATTAGTCGGTTTGATGCTATGCATGATGGTCCTTCATATTCCAAGTTTACCGAGACAAGGAAGTTATTTGAAAGAAATATTCATGAAGCTGGGCTTTCCAATCGCTACTCCCCAAAGAAAGAGAAATCACTTTCTAATAATGAACTTCAAGATGAATGGTGCAGCTCTAAGTCTAACAGAGGAAGTACAGATTCATTGGACAGTCTTAGTTCAAGGACAGAGGCAGTTTCTCCAACAGTGAGTCAACTTAGTGCAGTATTTGAAAATACTGACTCAAAGCAAAGTGTCATTTTAGAAAAGGCAGAAAACCATGAAGAGTACTCTGTAACTGGTCATTATCCACTAAACCTGTCTTCAGTGGAAACAAATCTGTCTTCCACTGTTGCAAAACTTGATGATTTTAGTCCTATAAAAGATGGAAGTGCTTGGCCTGCAGTACCCAAGCAAAATACCACTACAGTATCTGTTGAGAACTCACAGGAAACCAGTAACAGATCTCCATCAGTTAATGAAACCTCCAAAAGCACTTTGCCTCTTTCAAAAACAAGTGGAATACAAAACAAGCGTGTCTGTCATAATTCTGTTGAATCAAGCGAAGCAGCCAAACAAGAGTCAACAGATGGACTTGATAGACAGAATTTTGGTGAGACTGGTGCCAGGAGTAAGGCTGAAACAGAGCCTAAAGTGCTACCTGCACAGCAAAAAAAGATACTTGATGAAGCTGAGACTGCGGATGTATCAGGAAACTTAATAGCTAGTGATGACACTGCAGTCACTGAAGCTTCACATGTTGTTGGCTTGAAGTGTGAAGATACAAATGGAAAGGAAGCACAGGAAGACTTGAATAACTTTCAGAGTTCTCATGTGTATATGCACTCTGATTACAGTGTCTACAGGGTACGATCAAGATATAATTCTGACTGGGGAGAGACAGGAACAGAACAGGATGACCAGGAAGACAGTGATGAGAACTACAATTATGAACCTGACATGGAATGTTCTGAAATTACTGGATTGCCAGAAGAAGATGAAATCCCAGCAAACAGAAAAATTAAGTTTAGCAGTGCCCCAATTAAGGTAAGTTTCAGTGGTTGATTTTCTGTATTTGCATATAAATTTGTTCCAGCTCTTTGTTCTGTCTGCTTTTCTAGTGGTTATTTTTGGTTTCTCAATTTAACTGTGACACTATTTGTGGCAAATTTTAGCTAGTCGCATCTGGTACTGACTATTTTGATGCCTTTTAGCATGCATTTTTGGTAATAACAGGAAAGTAAGGATTTGTTTAACTAACTGAAAAAGGGTTTGGGGCTCCGATGAGCTCTTCTTCTTTTATGATTGATTTAAGCCAGTATCTTAAATATATTTAACTTACTAAATTTATATGCTAGCCTTCACCCTGTAGGGTTTCCTGTGAGCAGCTTATGTTAGAAACAAACCCCAATCCAACTTTTGTCTATAACTTTTTCTCTCTTTTTGGGTGTCTGAATTTCGCTTCCTGTGGTGTGGAATGAGTGGTTAAATTCCCCCTATCACTCAGTTATGGTTCGTAGAAACAGGAGGGTGAAATGAAGAGATGGACTAAACCTTTGGTGGAAGATTGGAGCAGAATCTGAGAACACTCTTGCTAGAGTTGCTTTGAAAAAAGCCTTCCAGTGAGCCAGGGAATGATAGGTGTGAAGCAGCCAGTGACTGGGAGACCTTGGAGGGCAATTGGTCAGGCCTCAGTCGTACTGCCTGCAGTGGCAAGTGCCATGTCGGGTGGCACAAGCTCTCCTTTCTCCTGCTGAGATGCCTCTCCTGCCCCTTCCTGCTTCCCCTCTCAGTGCCTAATGGTGACAGAGGCAGCCTCAGCCACCTTGCTCAAAGTGGGCAGTTTTGGGTACTCTTCCTGTTGCAGCACTAGCCACAGTGGGAGAGTGGCTACTAGGACTCTCTGGAGTGCCCGCTGCCTGAATCCCTCGCTTTGAGAAATCTTCATAGTTATCAGTGTGAATGTCGGTAGAAGCAGGTGGCCCTGCTGTTACAGCGGGGAGGTGATCCTGTGCTCCCCAAATCCACCTGAAGCAGGGGAAACATTCCATGGGAATTCCATGGAACATTCCATTCCATAACATTCCATCAGGGGAAACATTCCATGTTAGGAGAATGCTGGCCCTGGCTGCTGGTTGCTTGTGTACCCTGCATATTTAGCCTTTGCCTTTATAGTTGTCGAGCCCTTTATAACGTGTCGGCAAACATTGCATAGGGCCAGACCCTTTGAAAAAATAAGTATCTATTCTGTGGGATGGATGGTGGAAGCCAGAGGTTCGGAGAGCACTGAATTTTAGAAGATGAACATGAAGGAGAACTTTTTCTCCTGTTAATCACAGGTATGCAGTGAGATATTGCTTGCCCCTCAGACATATAGGGGACAAGACTGTTTTTCATCCTTAGTATTCTCTTGCTCTTTGTGTCATTTCGTACTTCTTCATCTTGACTCTGGGATTACTTGGACTTTCAGCACCATTCTTCCTAAATTCAGTCAGCTGGGAAGCAACCCTCATGTTAAGAAACCTTGAAATTGGTTCTGTCTACTTACTTGCAAAATTACTTAAGTCCCAAAACAGGCTCCGAAGGCAGCATGTTAATATTAAATTATAAAAGAAGTAAAAAAAATCAAATCATGGGAAACAGGGATCAAAATATATCCCCCCACCCTTTCTCTTATTGCAGCTTACTGTGAATTTCAGAAAAACTGGTTTAGGGTGATGATGGGACAGGTGGATCCCAACTACCAACCTTCCAATTCACATTCATTTGCCCAATTTAGAGTTCCGTTAGGGGCTTCTGTTTCACATGTGAACAAGCAGTCCAGTCTGTTTCAGGTAGCCAGAATTATATGCAAACTATAGTAGGTAAACAACTAGGAGGGACCCCAAATAACAAGCAAGAGTGTGAATTAATAATCTCAGATATATTTAGGCAGACCAGCCATGTTTTTTCAGAACTATAGAAAACCCCACCCACCCACTCTTGATTTTTAGGAAATAAAATGAAAGCTAAAGCTGATGCTCTGGCTATGCACATTATGAGGTTATAGGTCTTGCCTCAGAGGGTTGTTGTGAAGATTACCAAAATCATGCACGTGAAGTATTTGAACTCGTAGAAAAGGTAGACAAATGTAGCATTGTTGTACTATCCTACATGGGCCAGTTCCTCACCTGGTCCTAATAGCTCTGTAATTCTTTGCATGATGTTTGAAATGTATGTGTTTTGTGCAAAATACTCTTGTTTCATATCTAAAATTTGTTTGGATATGTGCTTTTACGCACACTTGAAAAATCAAACAAGAGCCCAAGGGTTGAATTCCCTTTTGAAGAAGTTTGTGGTGGGACATCTTCTATTGGTGAGTGGGCTATAGGCAACTGTAAGTAACCAACTCTGGAGGGCATTTCAGTATTTTGTAATGGGTAAAAAAACTGCACAGAAACCAAAGGGTTGGTGGATTGGGCTGAGGGGCAAGGATGTGGCTTTCTGGGAAACCCCAGAGAACTGGATGGAAACTTCTAGAAGGTTAGATTAGAAACCTGGCCTGAGGTTCTGCATCTCTGTCTTAAGCAGAGCAATATCTCATTTGAAATGGTTGAGGCAGCACTGCTGTGTGAGGTGTGATTTATTTGAATATCTAATATTGAATTTATATTTTCTGTGAGAAATCAGAGACCAATAGGTATCTACTGTTTAGACACTACTCAGCTAAGGCACTTAGTATATCAAGGGCAAGTGCATTTTTTAAAACGGGTGTGAGCTGCCACCCTTCTCCACAGCATGGCGAAGGGTGGAACTCTCTCTGACCTTGCACTGATACTCAGAAAGCAGCAAGCCAGCTGCCTTTCTTACTTATTTCCAAGTGCATTTCCAAGCCATCCACTTTATTGATTTCCTCATCCCGTCCAGCTTGGACCGAGGGAGGAGGGGTGCCTTGTCCTGGCAGTTGGCAGTTGTGTTGTGGTCCAAATAGGCAGTGTGATGCCATGGATAAAGAACCGTCCCCCTCTGTGAATTCAATACCAAGGCCATCTTAATTTGTGGAGTATTAGCAGTGTTGCTTTCCTGCCTACTTGAGATTAGCACAACTGTTTTTTTTTTTTTTTTTTTGATCAGGTTATGTAGAAATTGGGAAAGAAGCGTTAGGTTGTCAGGCTTTTGAGTTAAAATATACTGTCCAGTTGGTTAAAGAACTGTGAATTTACATCATATATTACAATCATAAAATTATCTTTTTGTCATAAATTTGGAAATAATACAATGAATGCATTCTGATCTGATTTGTTCTTTTTTAATTCTTCCTGATGCGTTAGTTAAATGTAAAAGCTGGGATATTAAATATAAGCTGCTGCAGATGTATTGTGCAGCCATGTTACTGGATCATTAATCTTATCCTTGTGAATCGATAATCGCTGGATCCTATTTTCTTTATCTGGTAATTTTTCTTGTGTAAATGAAATATAGGTACTGCTATACTTTATTTTCCATCATTTTAAACATCAGCAAATTATACAGGGGAAAAAACATCTAGGCAGGTTCAGTTGCATTTATCTCAGAATAAAAAAATGTTTTGCATTACATTGCTGACTTTCACAAATATGTGTAACCGTAGTAGTTTTTCAACAGCTACAGTAATTTGCTTCCCCAGCACACATTTATATATACAATAAATTTAGGCTGGAAGATTACTAAAAGCTGGGGCTTGCAATCACTCTGGTCTTGGCTGTGGAAAGGGGATAGAACAGTGGTGTCAGATACTGGCCCAGTTTGCATGTCACAGCTGCACAAGTTTTTAACAAGCTCTGGTTAACTGGGAGCAATCAGGAGTAAGGGAGCATAGTGGCTTCTGTCCACCTGCCTGCTGAGTTTTAAAAACCTGTGATTTTGGTTCAGAAAAAACAGAATACAGAGAATTGTGATAAGCTGTTATAAATGATAATAATTTATCTTCATTAAGAAACTGAGACACAGTTTACAATTATAGAATGTCCATTAAGGAGCTGGTGGTAGGGGAATAACTGGAAAGAAATTAAGCAAGCAGCCAAAGAAAGCCTTTGAAACAATGTTTTATTTGGCAGTGCTATTTTGCATATTGATGAAGATAATTTTTCTCCTAATTATAAACAGAAATACTGCTCATATGTTAAACGGTATGTATTCAGTACATCTACAAGTGTGAGTCAGCTATGTGTCAGAGGCTGTTTTCCTATGAAAGCTGTGAAAGCCATATATGAAGAAACGAATGACCAATACTTGTTGGAAAAGGTGAACCCCCTAAAGGACAGGGTTTGTAGTTTTGGGGTGCTCCTGGATCCTGAACTTTCTCTGGAATCACAGGTTGGAGCACCTTTTATCATCTCAGACCATTTTATCAACTATGACCCTATCTGGACAGGCAGAGCCTAGCAACTGAGATCCACACTCTGGTGACCTCTTGAGATCAAACCAGTCAGTCTTAGAGGAGATCAACCCTGACTGCTCTTTAGAAGGCCAGATCCTGAAGATGAAACTCAAATACTTTGGCCACCTAATGAGAAGGAAGTACTCCCTGGAGGAGACCCTAATGCTGGGAAAGACTGACGGCAAGAAGGGGATGGCTGAGGATGAGGTGGCTAGATGGAGTCACTGAAGCAGTTGGTGTGAGCTTAGGTGGACTTCGGGGGATGAAGGAGAATAGGAGAACCTGGAAAAATGTTGTCCATGGGGTTGCTATGGGTCGGGCATGGCTTCATGAATAATGTAACGTAACTTAACATAACATAACATGCACTCTGTGTGGGGCTTCCTTTGAAGATGGTCCAGAAAATTCAGTTGGTTCAAAATAGAGCAGAAAGACTGCTGTTGGGGACTGGGCAATATTACTGAACATATTATGCCAGTCCTCTTCTAACTCCATTGGTTACCAGTTGAGGTCTGGGTCTGATTCAAAGTGCTCACATTAATATTTAAAGCCCTAAAGGGCTTGGGGCCAGGTTATCTAAAGGAATGCCTCTTCCCATATGATCCTACCTGGGCCCTGATGTCATAATCTGTGCTCCTTCTCAGGGAAT